AAAAAAAAAAAAAAACATTGAAGATGATTTGTCTAAACTTCTTTCTGTCTGTTGGTTTTCTTTTCTTTTTTTTTTCTTTCTTTCTTTTTTCTTTAAAGTTCTGCCACTTTTATTACTGGTGTTGATTGGCAGTGTCCAGGTCCAATAACATGGCAGAGTGTTTCGGTACGAGAAGAAAAAAGAAGAAGAAAAAAATATATATTGTAATCCTGGAGTTGCTGTGAGGTTATTGAGGGGGGGTTCACACTGGAGGAGGCTGGAAGCTTGTCAGACGTGGCCTTTCTGCGTGGGCTCGTCCTCACACCGGCCCGTTGACGGACACTTCCTGAGCCGGGGGCGTTTCCTCTCTGGGGGAGACAACAGAGAGACGCTTACACCTGAACAGCACCTGGAGAAAAACTCTAGTCGCATAACAGACGTTTGCTCGTTTGAATGTTTACGATCTCGGTCTTCTTTCAGACTGACAACGCCAAACACCTGACTTATATCCTGGGGGGGTGAAAACATGGCACCTCCCCATTCCGATGGGCCTGTTTTTGCTCCCATGGGCCGACTTCTTCCTGCTCAGGTGGCAACCACCACAGTCTGCGTCGGCGTTTCACTTCTTTTCTTTGTTCCCACCATAAAATGTAAACTTCTTTAAAACTTGGAAGAATATTGAAGCTTAACTCCCCCCTTTTATTGACTAAGCTGGCCGTAAGAACAGCCGAAGAAGTCAACTTTGGCTCAGCGGACTCACCGATCACTCTGTAAAAAAAACGATGCCCGAACAGATCGGCCGTTTGCCCCCTTTGGTACTTACTTCCTGTCGGTCTGTGTGTTTACTGGCAGGTCCTCAGCGGGCGACTCTGAAGCCGTTGGAGGATCTGAGAGAGAAAGTTTCTCTAGAGACACGGGACAATCCTCACTGCAGGAGACAAACAACAGGCACAGTGTTAAGAGTTGTGACGACTAATTCATTTACCTGCGTTTCCCCATCAGAACAACATGAGACTGAAATGAGAAAGGATATACAGGGGTTGGACAATGAAACTGAAACACCTGGTTTTAGACCACAATACTTTATTAGTATGGTGTAGGGCCTCCTTTTGCGGCCAATACAGCGTCAATTCGTCTTGGGAATGACATATACAAGTCCTGCACAGTGGTCAGAGGGATTTTAAGCCATTCTTCTTACAGGATAGTGGCCAGGTCACGACGTGATGCTGGTGGAGGAAAATGTTTCCTGACTCGCTCCTCCTAAACACCCCAAAGTGGCTCAATAATATTGAGATCTGGTGACTGTGCAGGCCATGGGAGATGTTCAACATCACTTTCATGTTCATTAAACCAATCTTTCACCAGTCTTGCTGTGTGTATTGGTGCATTGTCATCCTGAGACACAGCACCTCCTTCAGGATACAGTGTTTGAACCATTGGATGCACATGGTCCTCCAGAATGGTTCGGTAGTCCTTGGCAGTGACGTGCCCATCTAGCACAAGTATGGGGCTAAGGGAATGCCATGATATGGCAGCCCAAACCATCACTGATCCACCCCCATGCTTCACTGTGGGCATGCAACAGTCTGGGTGGTACGCTTCTTTGGGGCTTCTCCACACCGTAACTCTCTCGGATGTGGGGAAAACAGTAAAGGCGGACTCATCAGAGACCAATACATGTTTCACATTGTCCACATCCCAAGATTTGCGCTCCTTGCACCATTGAAACCGACGTTTGGCATTGGCACGAGTGACCGAAGGTTTGGCTATAGCAGGCCGGCCGTGTATACTGACCCTGTGGAGCTCCCGACGGACAGTTTTGGTGGAAACAGGAGAGTTGAGGTGCACATTTAATTCTGCCGTGATTTGGGAAGCCGTGGTTTTATGTTTTTTGGAAACAATCCAGGTTAGCACCCGAACATCCCTTTCAGACAGCTTCCTCTTGCGTCCACCGTTAATCCTGTAGGAGGTGGTTCGTCCTTCTTGGTGGTATGCTGACATTACCCTGGATACCGTGGCTCTTGATACATCACAAAGACTTGCTGTCTTGGTCACAGATGCCCCAGCAAGACCCGCACCAACAATTGGTCTTTTTTTGAACTCTTGTATGTCACCCATAATGTTGTGTGGATTGCAATATTTTGAGCAAAACTGTGCTTTTACCATGCTAATTGGACCTTCACAGTCTGCTCTTATTGGTTCAATGTGCAATTAATGAAGATTGGCCACCAGGCTGGTCAAATTTAGCCATGAAACGTCCCACACTAAAATGAGAGGTGTTTCAGTTTCATTGTCCAACCCCTGTAGGTGCCAAATCAATAGAATGTTCAATTAAGGCAATTTGTTTAATCTTTCATTATCGTGTGACTTTCGTGAGATTTTGTTGTCCAATGAAAACCCTAACCCGCATTTTATTTTGCAACTCGCACGGTAATTAAAGTTTAGTTAGTTTTATTTTGAAAGGCATGAAAGCGAGAGGGCGGGTTTTGGAACTCCTGCGGAAACTAACTAATTGTAAACAGAGGATTCTTTATTTTTGCATCGTTTGAATCAACAGAAAAACGCAAGCTTGTCGTGGGTGACAATAAATATCGTAAAATCAAACGGTTATGAAGTCAAACGTGTTTGAACTAAATTTAATTCAATACTTCCAGATGTGAATGAATTTGTTATAGTTATAATAAGTAACTTAAACTGTATTTCTGCATTACTTAATGAGGTCACACAAGCTCCCTCTGTCTGTGGGATTCCGGTATTCCCACTTATCCCTGTAAATTTGTGAACGTTAGACTAGTAAGAGACCTTAGAGAGGCAAAAGCTGGAGGCATCCGGCAATTTTAAATCCCGCTCTGGGCTGTAATTACATCAATGTGGTGATTATGTTTCAAATATAGACGTTTAAATATATATGCACGCATGCACACGCGGGCACGGACACCCGAGTTGTGTGGACGGCTACGGAGTGGACCGGTCAGCACAATGAGGTTTCCGTTCCCTTTCAGCTTTTGTTTTCCAGGACTTTTTATTGTTAACTCATTGACTGCCAGCCATTTTCAGAACAGAGAGTCGCTCACTGCCAGAGTTTTTTGAGAATTTTGACTGATTTTTCAAGAGCCACAGAATAGTTTGTGCTATGACTATGTAAACACCGAACACACCAAAAGAAAGAGTAGACTCTCTTCTTTCATCAGGAAAAAAGATTTTGTTTCTACCTCATTCCGTTCTTCTTCGACGTGCGTCTCACCGGCGCCATTTCTCTCATAGCGAACTATTGCGTTTGTTTTTATTTGCTTACAATCTATGCTAATCTCCCATCAAAAGTGGCACAGCTACCTAGAGGGTAAATTTGTTAGTCCATACTCTGTCTAGAAGCCGATATTTACGGGAAAACTTTCGCCGATCGTCCCCCAAGCCACTCGCATTGAAAAACATAAAAGACGTCTATAGACGTCTTTGGCAGTCAGCGGTTGGATTTGAAAAGACGTCTATAGACGTCTTTGGCAGCGAATGAGTTAAAGGGCCGGTTCCCCTCGCACGGCGGTTCTGTTCCCGACGTCCTGCTGAATGCAGAGCCTTGGAAAAGCAAAAAGCCACGCTAGCATGCAAATAATCCGAGAATATGAGACGGCAAACCTTTTGAGGTCATTTGTCTTGCTGCTGGGGGCCTCTTCTGAGGCGGGTGCTGCAACGGCGGCGGCGGTTTTGCCGTCCTCCTCTGCTTTGGAGTCCCCAGAGGAGCTGCTGCCTGAGGCCACAAGTGGAACCTTCCTGCCTTCTTCTGCTGGCGAGGCGCTAGCAGAGGCACTTACATCTGCTTATGCAAAGAGTAATAAGCATGTTAACAAACAAGGATATTTTTTTGCACCCCCTCCCTTTTTTTTACAATTTTTATTTCAACCTATGACAAAACCCAATTGAAACCTTGAGTTCGTCTTAAATGGATGGGAGTGCTCACCGCTTTTGTCGTGGTTTTGTTTGGCTTGTTTATCTGCTTCTGTGCCGTCTACAGGGGAGCTGCACCTGGGGTCCATCTCTGTACTGTAACGAATGCAAATTTTGTAGTTGAATTTGTCTAATTTGAAAAATGCTCTTTTGAATGTAGGACTCTCTGTACAGCCAGACACCAGGTTAAAAATATTTAAACAGTAGAGGCATTGTATAATATAAAACAATGAAAAAAAAACAAAAAAAATATGTGAAACTGAACATTTGGTCTAAAAACGAGTGTGTTTCTTACCCGGTAAAAGGCTGGAACTCTGTGAAGTTGGCCCATCCCGTTGCCTGCGTTTCTGATCCACTCCCCCTTGAGCTCTCCCACGCTGCCGGGGTTTGGGATGCTACCGTTCCTCCCGAGTCCCTGAAATTTGCTGTCCAGTCGGGAGCTGAAAACATCAAATAAAAACATTAAATCCCATAACAAAGCTTAATGTAAAAAAAACTACTTTGGTACTATTAAAGTTGCGGCCCCCTCAGTCCACCTGTGTCCGATGTGTTCTGCTCTGAATCTTGATCCTCATCAGATCCAGAGCCACAATCCCTTTCCCGGCCTCCGTTTTCAATGCTGCCTCTGGAGCTTCCTTCTGAGGTTTGAGACACCCCAAACCTAAGAGGGAGAGCAAAAAACACAACAAAAGACTCAAGTCTGATATGAGTTCTGCATACTTTGCGACCGGCGGACATTTAGAAAATGAGAAAATCAAATCTTCCCATCCCGTCTACCATATGAAAATAGGAAGACAAAAACATTGGATAGCGAATGTTATTTGCTTAAATTATCACTTTAATAACATAAAAACGGAAAATGACAATAAAAAAAGAAACTTGATCAGATTTTATTTTACGTGTAGAACTTTGACCACAGAACTCAGGCTGTTAAAAAAAAAAAAGAAAAGAAAAGAAAAGAAAAAGATGTAGAAATCTGTGACTGCTGGTTTGTGGTGAGTCTGAGTTATTCTGGTGTGGACGTTGTCCTAATAACTAGCATACCCCGTCGGTAGCGGGTGCTCTGCGGCTGCCGCCACAGTGCTCTGTGGGTCTGTTAGTTGGCATGTTTCGCAAACTCACCTATAAACTGGTACAATTTTTTTTTATTGAGGCCCCAGGTAGCCATAGTTAAGCTATAGACAATATAAAGTAGAGGTCTAACGGTTTAAGATAAGAATCAAGATAAGTCAACTACATACTTTTTCAAGAAGGAATAACATCCTGCATCCTGGGATATGCAGGACCTTCCAGATAACTGTCTGACTTAGAAATTACATTTTAAGTTAGAAATTTTACCGTTTATTTTGGTCTTACAGGTGCTTTAGCTCGCTTTATCACAGCAATGCGTTCATGCTAATGTTAGCCGAGTTTACATTTTTTTCCAACAAACCTTTAAAGCCCAGCTGTAATCTGTTAAACGGCATTTAACATATATGCATGTCATTTTACAGAGTGTCATTGCGAGGTTCTAAAAATGCAAAATGCAATAAATGCAATGCAATAAAGCTAAAAAGCTGTAAAATCTAAATAAATTCCCTTACACACTGGCATTTCTAACTGTTACCTGAAAAATCCTGCTCATCTTTTATGAGTGAGTTACTATAGCGACCTGAGCTACCTGGGACCTCAGTTCAGAATTTTGTTCCAATTCAAAAGTGAAACAAGTGTGGTATGACAATAAAGTTCTTGATATTTGAATAGACCTGACCATGACAGCAGCAGAGTGTGTTTTAGCAACTTGGGGTCTGTCAAACTAATAGTGACAACTTCTGGGTTAGAAATAGGTTTTTAGGTTGGATGTTTGAACTCATCCAAAATCAATTGGATGACAGTTGTTTTGTTCTTTTAAATAGACTTTAAAAAATGGAAAACATTTCTCAACCCCGCCCAAATTATTAATGGGTAATTGGGGACGAGGCACTTTAGCACATTTGTTTCCTCCCTTCGAAAGAGAAGTCTGTTGGCCGTAAAGCACGTACATACAAATAATAAACACATCTGAAATTTAAGGGGAAACGGAGAAAAAGTTCAAGCTTACCTTGTTCTGGATTTAGCTTGTGTTGCATAGTTGAACTCCTTCTCTTCCCAAATGTCCTCCTCCTCTTCAGCATCATCAAACTGGCGTATCCTCTCCTTACAGCAGGCTTCAAAAGCAGCCGCGTTGGCCTGCCGCCAAAAACAAATCGAACTGTATGACAACCTTTTACTAATGGAGCTGACAGGAACATGCCTGAAGCATGTTTTGTGCCATACACCTTCATTTTTACAACAATAATAAATAATGTAATAACAATAATAGCAGCAGAGTTGCTAATAATAGTTATATTATTATATCATTATTAATTATTTGTAATTATATTATTATTATATAATAAATAATAATCATAGTATTATAGTCTTGTATAGTAATAAAAAATAACACACTAATATCTTATACATACTTACACTATTATCATCAGCATCTAGATTGAAGTTTATTTCGGCAATTCTGTCAAAGGTGGCACTGAGGAGAGAAAAGACTCAGTAAGAATAATGACCCAAACAAAACAAAGGCATTTTATAGTCAAAACACGAAGCTTGGGTGGAAACTATTGAAACTTACTTTATGTTTTCATCATGCTCGCTAAACTCCTCGTCATTGAACCCAAACAGATCCACAAAGTTGGCCGTCATCTGCTGGATCTGATAGTCTGAGAATGCCTGGAAAGATCAAAGGGGAGGTGGTGTCACCGTCATAAATCACTTTTTTCACTTTTTGCCCCCACTCTGAGATGTTCTGTTTTACCTGCTGAAGGGACAGGTCGCTGGGGAAGGGGCTCTCTTCATCATCCTCACTTGATGAGTGCATGTTATGTGTGCTGACCTGAAAAGTACAGTGCAGAAGAGTGCTCAGCCCACCACAGATCCAAGCCGAATTTAAAATATATATACATATATGATCATATCGTATATACTAGCAAAGACAATTCCAACAGGGATCAAACATTTTGGGGATTCCAGTTTTGTGTTTTTAAAACTCTGATTTCTTTCTTATCTGAAAAAGGAAAAACAAAAATGGATGAATGTGTCTTGTCGAAGATTAGTCATTTCTGACTGTTGCCACAGGCAGGGTCAAGATTTTGTGATTATGGCCTAAATAAGAATCAAGATAATTATAGTCTAAATAATAATACAATTTGCTATTATCTGTCTCCTTATAACTGAGTAGTCAACTAATCAACTATGATGTAAATAGAGGGACGTTTTTGTTGCTTAAATTGGATATATAATCCCATCTGTCCACACTGAGGGAATGCAGCAAGACTGACGTTCAAAACAATGTTTTCTTTTTATTTCTTCAATAGGGTTTGAGGTGAAAACGCCTTTTTTTTGCCATGGAGTTGTTTATAGCTGCTCTGATACTGCTGGAATGCATTATCCTGTCCTCTGCTACTTGAACCACTGTGGACCACAGAAAGCTTCGAGAGGGAGAACAGAAGGAGCAATGTAATTCATTCATGGGAAACAGCAAAGTCAGCAGATAATAAGTGTCCCACCAGCTCCACTGTGTTCTTCCTGTTTGTTTCTCTCAAGGTCTCATCTACAAAACTCTCCCAGCGGCCTCTGCAGTCCTCTGGTAGTTCTGAAAAAGATTAAGCCAAAACTGAAAATGGCTTACTTGTGAAACAGAAACTGATATGTTATCACTTATTTTATAAGACAGTTTACCTTTGATGAGGTTTGTGATATGGGCCTGTACTGGTCCTTTCTCCAGGTTCTGGACCACCATGTTGGAGATTCTAGTCAAATGACCCATGTTGCCTCTTCTGGTGCCGCCCTCAGTCCTAAAATTCACAGTTGGACAAAAATAGGGCTATTACATGTACTAATGCTGCATAATTCTGTCTGTAAAAATAACGCAACTTGCAAGTTTCATATATGGATGCTTGGAAAATCTGAAATTTATAAAGTAGACACAAAAAATAGTCTTAGACAAAAGATCCTCACTGTATTTTATCATTCTCTTCCCAGGCGTCAAGGATCCTCTGAACAAGCCGACACTTCTGGAAGAGCTGAGAGAACATAAACACAAAACATCTTAGATAAAGACTCTTTCTTTTTTTTTTATGAAAAAAAAGATTGACAGATTGCAGATTTAGAGCTACTTTTCCCACTCACATGTGCCACGAGGGCATCGTGGATCGAGGTCTGTGGGTCACTGGCTCTGCCTGCTTCTGCTTCCTCACCCTGCACCTCAGAGTTGGACGCTGAAGGATTCCCGTCTTGGGTCTGGAGCCCCAGGCTTGGCCGCTCCTCCGAGGAAGAGGGATGGTTCAGGATAGCTGCCACACACAGCTCCACTTGGAAGTGCAAAAAATTATTCCAGGAGTATTTAAAGAACAGATCCTATGCAAAAAAAGAAATATGGGAAAAAGTCAGTAGCTGTTGATATTACTTGCGTTTTTTTCAAGCATATTCAAGGCAAACATGGTGATTCATCTAAACAAAACCTTTAAATGTAAGAGACTGAACTAAAAGAATCAACTTTTCACACATAATGTTTCAAGGCCTTCTTTTCCTCTGTTGTTAGCTGTATTGGTGTTAATTGCTACTTAAAGCACTTCGTTGGTTATGTATTCTATTTTTTTTTTAAATTCAAGAAAGAACCATAGAAACCTTTACAGCATAACTATACTGTTTAAACAGCACAGCAGTGGAAATTCTGATTCTCTATAAACTGAAATGCAGAACCTGTTCAAAAGAAGCCACGCCCCTGCCCTTTGATCAGATGGCGAAATAACGGCTTCAGTGTTTCCCTGCCTCATGATAAGCCTTGTGCAAATTTTACCCAACTAGACATAGGAATCGGCCTGCGCACAATAAGACTTAAACATCTCAAAAAGTCCTTCTAAACAAATGATTATCACATTACAAAACATCCCAATCCCTCAAACTGTGTGAATTTTGGTAAGTAACATTTAACTTACCAGTAGTAGGTCCATGGTGGCGAGATTACTGAGCTCCTGGCAGATACTGGGAGCACTGGTCTGCAGCAGGGCAGCCACCAGCCGGGCCACATGAAGGCGGGCGTTCCCCAGTGGCTGCTCTAGAACGCCAACGGTCGTCAATATTGCACTTTTCTGTAGGAAAGTTCATTTTCATTATTAGGAAAAGGAGGTTGCACCAATACACAATTTCACAAAGTCTAAAAACAGCCAGTAATGGCGGAAAAACAAAAAGCAAACGTGATTAACCTTGGGGGGATCCAGAAGAAGCTGCTGGAAGTCCTTTAAATGGGGCTCAATGGCATTTAAAATACTGCTGTTGACAGTGTAAGACCTTTCATAACCCTGAGAATACAGATCCATCAATCCTTCCAACCTGGCAGACAGAAGAATACAAACATTCAGTCACCACATTCTCAAAGACTCGTCCATTTGAAATCAATTCAAAATAAGACATTAAACAGGTTCCACCATTAATCTTGATGACCTAACTAACTCACCCCGACCGTCTAGTCTCCAACAAGGTAAGTAGCACTTGAGTTCCATTTACGACAGAGGCTTCGCTCCTCTCCCCCTCAAACATGTTTTTCAGAAGCCCTGCTACACTCTCCTGCCTGAAAAAAGAAAAAAAAATTAAGGTATGGGGAAAAGCAGAAAGCAAGCACTCATGATTTCTTTCTTTTTACCCTATTGCTGGAGTTAAAAGTCAAATTTTGTGATTTATACCTTTGTATCAATATATCCATTAAAATACTATTTTTAAAATTTATTTATGTGTGTTGAGCAGCTACAGGAGACTTACGACTCTAATACAGCCAATAGTGGGTCAGACTCCGCATTTTCTTGCATCTGATTGGCCTGGTCTCGACTAAGGCGGATGATGTCACAAAGCGTTTGGGACGCATTTGATTGTCTCTGCAAAAACAAATAAATGATTCACAATAACCTAATTTAGTAAAATCCTTCCTTTAGCTTTACAAGTCCACCAACAAAAGTTAACCTTTTTGATTCAACAAAACAAGTATCGACACATCACTGAGGTGAATGAACCACGGGCTACTCACTCACCTCCTCATCTTTGCCTGTGTGGATGAGCTCTGTGAGTCTCTGTACCAACCTTTCCTCGTTCAGCCACTGCATTAAAAGAAAAGAACCAGGACTAAATATAAGGAAGATATTCTAAAGGGCATTTTTAATGCTTTAATAAAAAAACATTTTCAGGAGCTTACATGCAGGACCTCCAGTCTCAAGGAGGCGGGTTCCACACAACTGATGAGGCGAAGCAGCAGGTCCATCATGGCAGAGGCGTCAATGTGTTTGAGCACCAGACTGATAAAACCTTCTTTTTTCTTTAGAAAGGTAATCACCTGGAAGTATACATAACAGTTTATGTTTCAAGATTTACTAAAAAAAAAAAAAAAGATAAAGATGGACTCGCTCATTTGGACACATGTGCTTGCTTTACCTGTTCGGTTTTCCTGGCAATAAGATTGCCAATGGTTTTGCTAAAGAAGCTGGCAAGTAGAGGGTTGAGCGGCGGGTCCTGCTCCAGGAAGTGGTAGAGCATTTCGAGGAGAGACTCATCGCCTCCCAGCTTGTCATTTATAATGGACACGTCTGATGTCAAAAGCTCACAAGCAATGTTGGGAAACCTTACAAGAAGAAGAGGATAAGAAAGTGTCTTTGTGCCACTTGAAGTTTCAAATAGGCAGATATGTTGGGATGTGGACATCAATATGATAATTTTATCAATTAATCCAGAAACCACAACTGAATTTTTTTAATTTATTACACGATAAAATAACTTACAATAACAATAACTATTTTTATATTGTGATAATCCTATAGCCTCTGCTTTCATGTGCTGTATATATTGTAGCTTTATTCATAATAAAGCTTCTTATGCATTTATTTTTGGTTTGTATTATGAGCCAGGAAAGTGACTCAGTACTGGATACTGAAATAAAACCAGTTAAGAGTACATGACTTGGAGACTGATTATTTTGCATATGTAACGTTTTCTGATTTTTTTTATTTTTTTATTCTTAAGTAGCATCTGTGTTTACACTTTAGTTGTTTTGTACTTTCAAACATAATGACAAAAATATCAGCTCATGTTTATGGCCTATAAGCAAAAGGTGTTAGTGGGGAAGTTTAATGGGCATTTCAAATGTTTTTAACTAATATTTGTTGAAATCAACAAACTGTAAACGTGAATCCGACCTTGTGTTTAATACTCTCTCTGGACTAGGTGTGTAAAACGGGTGATGTCTGCTGAGATTCTATATCATTAACTATTAATGAATCTTCAGACTTTTTTTTTTGTTTGAAATGGGCCCAAACATTTTGTCTTGTTCTCTCCAATTCTATTCTTTCCTAAGCCTGCCACAAACATAAACCTGCATGCATACACAATATGACACAGTCTGTATAGAAGTGTGAGGGACATAAACAAACCACAAAAGGAAGAAATCTGCCCCAAGTAATTCTCATTTTTGGTAAACAAAATATTCAAGATATGTGTGGAGTCATTATAGAATGAGTAAAACCTTTTTTAGGATTTTAAGTTAAACTAAAGATAGTTATAGAAAAAGCTATATATGTTTTTGTCCAATCTATTTTAATTAGATGCAACATTATGGCTAATTAACTCAACTATCAACTCTTTAAAATAATTACCGGCTGTCATCCTTACACATTTCTGCATCCAAAAAATACATTTGTTTTCATTTAAACACTTTCATTCTTTAGTTTTTTTCAACGCAGATTTTAGCTGACCTGACAATTTTATGTCAATATTTTGAAGAAACAGTAATATAAACATTTATGACAAAGATCTGACAGTCTGTATCAGGACTCACTTGAAGCGACTCCTCTCCTCCAGATCAGTAGACGGCTCTGTGGTTATGAGGCCAACCAGTTCTTGCATGCAGTGGTCCTGGGAGAGGAATAGGAGCAGCCGACGGTTTTGAGCTTTGCACTCCTGCAGGACGTCATCCTCCTCCATAAGCTCTCTCAGCGTCACGTCCTCCCTGTCCAGCAGCTGGTCAATGTGGGAGGTGGTGTGGAGGTCAAACTTCCAAAACATAGTTGCCGCTTGGATGGGGGACACAGCTCTGTGTTGGGTGCATGAGCAAAAAAAGGAAGAGACATAGATGAAGGCGCCAAAAAGTGGCCAATACAATAGGAGAGAGTGGAAGCGTGGGTGGGAAGGAAGCATGGGAGAGAAACTGCTGTAAACAAACAAGTGTGAAAGCTGGAGGATCTACACTGTACAACTACTTCGATCCTTTTATCCTAAAGTCAGGGTAACAGACATGGAAATATCTCAGCATGATGATTTAGAATCACAGCTTGCTGCACTTGATTTATTTTTTTTTTTTACAGGATTCTGCCCGAGACGCAACCACCATATTCACCAAGGTCACGATTGTGCATGTTAAGCAGTGTAAAAGAGAGCTGGTGTTTTGGACACATTTGCAAATTAAAGCAAAAACTGTGCCAGAGGAGAAATTATATTTCAGAATATGTTGAAAATAGGAGTGAAGAAATGCAGAGGCAGTGAGTAATAAAGTACTGCTCAAAATTAAATAAAAATTTAATGGAAGCAGAAAGGAAAACAACCTGGGAAAATTCTTTATTTAAAAAGGGAACAACTGTATCTGTACCGTAAAAAGGGCAAAAAGTTGGACATGCAATAGTTATGTGATTGCACATACCAGCGGATGAAATGTGGATATCTTTAATCAGACCTCCTCCACAGGCAGGCAGGCATTTGTGTTTGTGCAGACAACAGAGAGTGTGGCGAGGCCTGGCATTTATCAGCATGGGTCTCTTCTTAAAACGCAGGCCTCTTTAGGAGATGACACGCTGAGAGGCTCACCATAACCTGCACAAAAGGAAGGTTTTATGGTTAATCAACAAGATGTCGTTCAGTCAGAGCTTCACATCTGGAGAGAATCAATAAAAATACATTTTTAAATCTTTTTTCAGCTATTATTAAAATGTACGCAGTTCTGTACATGAACAACTGCCAAACGAGATTTGGCCAAGTTCTCCTTCTTTGGTCTCGGCAACATGACAAAGGGCTTTAACATAGCGACTTTCAATGACCAATAAATGGAAAACTGATCTAAAGTTATGGAAAAGAGCTTTGATGCTTTGTGACCGGATGTATATATTCTACTTTGTAAGCCACTTAGGATAAAAGCGTCTGCTAAATGCATAAACATAAACCTAGCAATTTTATTTGGTTAGTTTTTCCATGTGCATTTACTGTGGCCATTAAATCTCAAAAGACCTCAAATGCGAGCACGGAGGAAGTAATGCTGGCTTTGTCAAATGGCAATGTGTCTATAAGAAGCATACTAACAACTAGCAACGACCTGTTGATTATGAGAATAAAACGGATGGAGGATATCAAAGTGCTTCCTCCTTTTTTTCCTGAGGACCTTTCCTTGCAGATGCAGCAACTGGGGCAACGGTGTCCATCTGGCATACATTTACAGAGTACACAAGTGCAATAATAACCCATGGAGCACTCCCTGTGGACACTGTGCAGGAAAGCAAATGCTTGACTTTACATCCAAAATAGAACCCACCAGAGGCAACCTCAACAAAAACAGTCTACTGGCACGTATCACAGATGATGAAAATGAGGAACAATAGTGCACAAAGGGCCCACATGTGGATTTTGTGAGCCAAAGCCGGCAGTAATCAAACAAGTTAAGCAGGAAAATTAAGCAGAATGTAATTTCATCTACATGTTTATGGGAGCCTTACCTCACTTACTAAAAGTACCATCAACAGCAACTAGTAGCAAGTGAACATGTGTAATTTCCTATGGAAACCTAGTGACAGACACAACCAAGTGATCTGCAACAGTGCACCTCAGAAGACAAACAGAGGCTAGTTTTACCCATCCCACTTTTGCCTACATGCACGCATCTCAGAGGTTGTAAAATGTGTTGTCTAGATCTTCATCAAACATTTGATAACATACTGCTATCAAAAAAAGACTATGCAAAACAATTTTGATGACAATATGGCCAAGGTTGCTACACTTGATCATCGTAAAGTAGATTTTTTACTTGTTTTTTGTCAGATTTTTACATATGACAGCTAAATATAGAGATTTCCCCTTAGATTATAAACAAAAACATACATACATCTATACCTCAGTGCAGATGAATTGTAACGGATTTTCTTCAGTTCCCAACAATGAGAGATATGAGAGTGTGCAGTTAAATAAAAATGTAAAATGACCTTCTATAGCCTTGGCATGAAATGCACATCAACTGACTTGCTGTAGGAGCTCAGATTTCTGTTTACTTCAACTCAACTAAGAAACCACTTCCAAATAAGTCAGGTAAAAATACTATACATCAATTTATCAAACATATAAGTGTGTTTATAGAAACACACATACATTTTTTATATACGAATACATGTATACACAACTCTCTTGGAAAAAATACAGAATATACCAAGGAAGTGTGTACTCGATTGTTGCACAAAAGCAAAAACTGCGCTGCTGCTGTTCTCAACCAAACCTAATGTCTACGGGGAACACTTCCTTATATGTTGAAAAATTCAAAATATATAAGCAAGATTACATGTTGTTAGAGGGGGAAATGGATCACAACTATTGTATGGCACCGATATTTTAAATGTATTTTAGCAACAATGTTACTTTACATAGTGGACTAATCTCAGCAGTCAAATACATTAACAAAGCAAACATAACCGATTGCCGAACATTAATTCTCCGCCAGTCGCCGACTGAAGATTTTCAGGTACTAAATTGAGAAGTTAGCAAACAACTTAGCTAACAACAACTTAAGTTCCTCCTTTCCGCTGATTAGCATGTAAGCTAATAAGCTCTTGACACTGGTCTGCTCGGAGTTAGCGAACTTAAATAGCTACCTAACTTGGGTTAAACTTTGTCGATGCAGTAACAGAGTTATCATTGTATAGTTGTTCCAACTCATGACAACACATCCGGGTAAAACTTACCTTTAATTGAAAACCAGTCGCTAATCCTTCTCTTTCCCTTATACTTTCAGAGTTTGTCGCAAAGCAGCCTGCTATTTATCCACCAGCTACGGAGCTAACTACAGCTAATTGTGTCGGCTAACATAGCCCGTGAGCTACTAGTGATTTGTTTTGAAGAAGGGGTCAGTCTGCGACAGGCTACTGCTAGCTAGCTCAACTTGGCTAACGTTAGTCAAATGTGGTTTTAAAGACTATCGGATTAACTGTCCGGCTTCATTACTTGCTGCTTGGCAGTAATAGAGACACCCGTTGTTACAAGTGTACAAGGTACGATTCGTACTCGCGCATAAAGTAATTCAAACGCAGGTTTAAGTTTAGCATGCAAAGCAAGAAAAACTCAGTCATAATTTTCGAATCAAAATGGCGACATGGTTACAAGAGCGCGCAACAGACCTACACGGGAACGTGCATGGATTTCAAACGCTGTACTCTTTCGCTTTTCAAAACAACATTGGTTGAATTGTATAAGGCGTTATGTGTAATTTGATAATGAATATTGATTTTCTTTTAGTCAGATGTTAACACATTGATCAACAAAACATATTTTTATTGAATCTATCTGGCATATAATTTTGTTTTTGCAGAGATTATGTGAAATACTCTTTACTTTGAGTTGATCAATTTATTAAAGATTTGAAAATTACATATCTAAGTGTGGATAGCTACAAATTGATACTCACAGCATTGGTGGGAAATAAAACAGTTTTCTGCAACAAAAAAAAGCATTGATTTAATATGGATGGACGCAAGTAACAGCTATACTTTTCACTGAAAGAGATACAAGTTCCCCGGGGGTTCACATCCTTAACTAACGTGCAAAAATACGTCACCTATTAGTTCCAAGATCCCTTAGTAATTGAAATTGGATAGGATTAAAGTAACACACAAACACACGCACACACACACGCACACATACACACACACACACACACACACACACACACACACACACACACACATATATGTAGATAAATGATAAATTTGTTAATTTAAACCAGATTATTTTGTTGCACACAAAATACTTAATACGTATTGCACATAATAGATATTTCACAGGTAAAAACATTATTGTATATAAATCATATTAAAAAGATGATCAGTCCTAGATGAGTTACAAATTAGTTTCAACTTAATAACAGTTTTTCTTTTACTTTTTCCCACTCTGTCTGTGTTTTTCAACCATCTATATTTCTTCTCATCCGTCTTACTTTCCGTTCCTGTGCTTTGGCCTTACGTCCGTCTTCTCCCAGTCTTGCGCGTTTCGTGTTTCCCACAATGCATTGTGGTCTCTCGTTGGATCATGGACCAAAGCGGTAAGCGAATGCAAGAGTAGGGCCGATGTTATCAAAGTTAATTTATATGGTATATTATGACCATAGCTGAAGCATTTTTATATCACGACAAATAATCGTCACTAAATGTGCTTTTTACAGAATGTTGTTGCCTTTTATTTTACCGTTAAGGCTAGCATGTTTAAGACTAGCTAAAATGGCTAGCGGTATGTAATGCTAATCACATAAGTTAACCACAAGTAACCGTTTCGGTTTGAATAAATCCTTTCCGTATTTTTTACTATACGGAATTTTAAGATTGTGCATTGACGTAATGCTTGGAGTTGGGGTCTCTGTGATTGCCACGGTTGCACAAGTACTAGCTTGCTTGAATGTTAACATGCTAACGGTCCTGTATAAGGTTTTTGAAGAGTTAGTTTCATAGAATATTCTCAGAATACACATTGATACCCACGAGTCGTTCTCAAGGTTAAATATTTTTAAAGTGTCTATTATGGGGTTAATTTTTATCTAACTTATCTTGAGTTAAAATAGGTACTGAGTGGAGCAATTCTTTAGATATTTATGAGGGGGTGTTTAACCTTTGTTAAACTGTTGGAATTGTTTTTTAAATGGAAATGTTCATAAACCAAGCCATCCCACACACATTTGCACATTATTAATGCTTTTTCCTGTATTCATACAAAGAAGTTGACCTTTTTTTCCATTTGTAATGGTTATTCTAAGATAATGTCTCTAAAGCTTGGCAATTCATTCAGATTTGATTTTATGACCAGTAAGTGTAATTTTGTATGTCATTGATATTAACAAAACTCTTTATTCTTCAAATGAGTATGGGTGATGTGTTTCCATGACATTTGACTTAATTTGGTTACCATATACTTAATTTATTTCCGTCTGTGACTCTAAAAAGTTAAGTGTCTGTATTTATGTGCTGTTTTTTTATTAACAGACAATGATCTTCAAGGAAGTGATGGCTCTGGGATTTTGGGAGGCCTTGACGTTCGAAGACGAATCCCCATCAAACTTCTATCCAAGCAGCCTTTAAGAAATAAGCCCCCACCGCGCGTACAGCGACCCAGCACCAGACCATGTAAAAACGAAACCGTGGACGATGGTAGGCACATCACACACCCTTAGCTATTTGTTTTTATAATGTTGTTTGAAATGTGGCCTAATTATATAAACTGACACATGCTTGATATCTTAGATATGAGGTAGAAACGTTCTCAGTTTTGCCTCTTCAACATAAGTTACAGAATTATGTAACCACGAACGAGAAGTTATTGTTCTTTTTCCACACACAATTACGTACAAAAGCAGGTTAAAGATAATATTATATCGTCATATTTTCTCCCTTATTCAGCCACACTTCAGTCACCTATGTTGTGTTTCATAGATAAGTTTGGTTTCAAGCAAGAGGACCGGTTTGATTGCGGCACCAAGGCTGGTGATGTATTTGCAAGTCAGAGAAGATTTCCCCAACCGCTGTTTTGGGACTATAAGGTATGTCATGTATGTGGAGTAGACTGACTAAATAGTGTCCTTATAGCCAAGTTTTTATCAATTAATGTCCAAAACACAATGAAGGCACTTTAGCAACGGCTATCTAAGAAACCTTATTTGAGTTTTTTTCATTTTTTTCATTCATTCTTTATTGAAATGACCCAATTCTATGCATTATTTTAAATGTATATTCTTTTCTGATAGTTAAATTTAATCGGTGAAAGAGATGAAGTTCCAATTCACTTCTGTGACAAATGTGGTCTCCCTATTCAACTATATGGAAGGATGGTATGTATATATACACACCAAGTATGTATGCATGTGTATATATGTATCTGTGTGTGTGTGTGACTATATATTAGTGTTTTTCCTGCAGTAGTTTTTGTATTTGTGATTTTTATCTAAACACTTGTTCAACAGATTCCCTGCAAACATGTTTTCTGCTACGACTGTGCTTTGCTCCATGAGAAAAAAGGAGAGAAAATGTGCCCAGGGTGAGATGTTGAAACTTTTTAAATGTGGTGATTGTTGATTATTTGTTTAATGTAAGAATCTGAATTTCATTTAGAGAATATATGTCAGAAAAGCCTAGACCGAAAATTTATTGACACACCTTGATACAGATTATGTTTATACAATGATTTAAGTCCGTTTTCAAAATAATTAGTATTCATTTTTGTTTTGTCTGTGGGTTCAGTCTCACTCTTTATAACTGCACGGATCCAGTTCAGCGCATTGAACAGTGCCAGCGGGGTTCCCTTTATATGTGCAGTATCGTGCCTGGATGCAAGCGCACCTACCTGTCGCAGCGTGACCTCCAGGCCCACGTGAACCACCGCCATATGAGGGCTGCCAAGTCCTCCGCAAGCCGCCAGGATCCCGTGCACCTGCCTCCTGCTCCTGACGTCCCTGAGCGCTACCGGGTGCCTCCACCTCACGTCACCAAGAATCACGTTCACCTCCCCAGTTCACTCCAGCACGGTGGTCACGACCCTTACAGCCAGCCTCCCCCGCCGACTCCCCACGATGGCCCACCGCCGACCTCATCTCTGGGCCCTGAGACATTCCGCATTGCCACAGTAACAACTCGTAAACACAGCAATCTCATCACTGTGCCCATTCAAGATGATTCCTCCACTTCAAGGGAGCCCCTATCTGCAGGGCCAGTCCCCAATCAGCCCCCTCATCACCACCCCGGGGACTATCCCGGTCAGCCACCTGTAGTGTCGCACTCGCACCACATGATGGCACCACCACAACAGCTCTTTGGCCCACCTCCTCCCCCTCCTCCCCCTCCCATTAGTCACCCAATGCAGCATCCTCCCCAGGGTTCCGGGACACCTCACATGGTGTACAACCAGGCCCCTCCCCCTCCCATGTCCTCAGCCCCACCACCTATCACTCCCCCGCCAGGCCACATCATGGGTCAGATGCCCCCCTTTATCAACCACCCACCCCCTGGACCTCCGCCGCAGCACACCGGCCCCCCTGTTAATGCACCCCCACCTCATCACTATAACCCCAACACCATGCAGCAGTTCCCCGAAGACCAGGGAACACTTAGTCCACCATTTAACCAGCCGGGAGGACTCAGCCCCGGTTTGTGGCCGGCTCCAAGAGGGCCACCTCCCCCAAGGATGCAGGGTCCTCCTCCCCAGGGCCAGATGCCTGGGCCGCACCACCCAGATCAGGGCCGCTACCGACCCTATTATCAGTAAACTGCCAATCGGATGAATGGTGAAGAGTCAGTGTCAGTCTGTTTCATACTACTTGTTTGAATAATGTGATAGTAAACCTCAGGGTTACAGGATGTAGAATTTTGATTTTGATAAGTTGCCCCCTCCCCCCTGTCAAATGTGTATGTGGTGCACATTTCAGTTAACTGTTCTCAGCTTCCCACTGAACATAATTTCTGACTTGGAGGAGAGCAGGAATGTTCCCTTTTTTAATAGTTTATGGTAAATTTCCCTGTATATATATCAGCTGATGTCATGTGTACATTGACAGACGTTAACAATTCTCAATAAATTTTTAATGGCAAATTTCAATCTCATCTTTGTTTGAGGTCAGGATAACTATGCTTGTCTATATTCTTGAGAGTTTTTTCCTGTAAAATATGAGAATAAAACAATTTCAACTGTAAAACTATAAGAGCGGCAGTATCTTTAGTTGGATTGGAGTTCTGTTCTTTCATTTGGCTCTGGTTCTGGTTCTGGTTTATTTGAAAAAGAAAAACTCCAAATCGGCCGTGACTGAGTGCAAAGTTTCATGCAAAGTTTCAATGTGTTACTTGAGCTCTCAAGATTTATTGCAGAAAACTTATAAAAGAAATTACAGCAGAGTTCAACAAGGTCTAAGATGAACACCAAATACTCAGTAATGAGATCCCATTGAAACTTTTATGACAATGCTGAACAACCATGACCAACATTCACAATGGAATCAAAATAACTGGAATTGTCACAAAAAATGTGTATAAAAGAAAATAACATTCTGAAAATAAGTTGTTCTTTAAGGATGGAGCTTCCCTGCTGCGGTTCTTCTACAGTTGGGTGACTTTCAACTGCAATCCAGAGACACTTGTTAAAATCAAGGCATGAAACAAGAGGAAAGTTGCACAAATGGAGTCATATTTACGCATACAGAGAGATGTTTTGTTATTTCCCATTCAAGACATGCTGCCCAGAGAATTCAGATATATTCTCATGTTGGATAATACCTAATGGTTATTCTGTAATATCAAAACTTATACTTGTAACATTCTTCTGCACATTTAGAAACGGCTAACGAGTGAATATATCTACATGTAATTCACGATTCTCAACAGCAAGACTTTCTCCAAAATGGACAAATCCCCTTTTTAATGCCTGCCTTTTTTACTTTAGCAAGTCTGCATTGTCTTTCTTAAAAAAAGAAAAAGAGACTGCATTTCTTACCTGGCTGCTTCCCTTTCTGTTGTTTTTATCTTTCTCAAGTATGTGAAGTGTTGCATCATGTAGGGTTGGGAAAAACATGGAGGTCTGAATTTCATTGTCAAAGAACATGCAACTGTGGAGTTTTTCCAGGATGTAAGCTGTAGACAGACAAATGTGACTTTCAGAAGAATGTTTGCTACCTTGCATTATTTTGTGCATAGAATATCGCCCTTTAACAACAAAAAAATCTTTGTGAGACTCACCATCACAAGAAACTATGTAAATATCAACGTTGACTTGAAGAAACTCTTTGAAAGCCTGTGGAAATAATAAAAAACACATTAGACACAAGGTATTGTAGCGGTCAGCGGCTGAACAAAAGACATTCTGAAATACAGTGTAATGCCTACATTGTGTTTAGCTTATTTGATATTTAGTCGTAAAGCTATATATGAACTCAAGAAACAGGGTCATACCAAGAGTGAATCTAGTTTTCATGCAAATTGCTTTGTAGAACAGTGTTTGGTATAATTTTTGACAAGAAAAAATGTTAAACTTCAAACTCAAAGATGCTTTTGAGGGGTATTCATCTGCAGTTCATTTTCCAGAGAGAGAAAATGGTACACAAAAACTCACAGTGCAGTTTCAATTGCCACTGGGGTTTTTTCAAAGACTTTTTTTTTTTACCATTTTGAGTCCCTTCAGACCAGATATATCCAGGAAAGAGACAGCGGAGAAGTCCAGAATCAAACTGTGGATATCAACTCTCGGAATATTGAGCTCAGGAAAGTCAGTGTTCCAGTTTATCTGCAATGGAAGGTCTTTTATGTTCTTCGGCAGATCCAGTTCCTCAGTTTTCCCATTAGAGTCATCAGGTGTTGGGGACAAAAAGTTGTCTACGCCTCTCTGTGAGACAGATGAAAAACCTAATTCATCTTAACTCTTGAGGCTCAACCCAACCACAAGGGTAAATTAACATTGTGCAAATGTTTGTGCAGCATTATTGTGGATGTACGGAAAACTACAAAGAAACCAGTCAAACGTAAGATATTTTGATGAAATAGAGTAAATGTTTGTTCTTACTTGGAAGAAAACAGACTAGACAAGTAAGAACACTATATCATCAAAATGTCATATGACATTACATAGTGTCTTTTATTGTGGTAAAATCAATTTATTACCTCTGCTAAATCAAGATCGCTTTTCTTCAGTATTTGTTTGATTTTCCTGAGGGCCTTGTTCCTCTTCCGCAAAACCCTCAAAGGGTTGAATCCAGCCTGGAAGAGTGTTGGCATAAAGTTAATTTCATCCAAGAGATAAAGAAAATAAAGCAATGGAGAAAGATCATAAATGAATCAAATGTACCGCCTCCACAAGCTTGTCCCTGAAGAAGTCAGTGTTGGCAAAGAAAATGGGCGATGGTATCCTGAAGATTTTCACCCCCTTTGGTTGAACACTCTGAGAAGATTGTTTGCAAGCTGAAATCATTCAGCATCAGATGCCAGTCATGTTTTGGAACTTTATTTATCTCATTTACCTGTGGATAATCTTTGCTATCTCTGTATATGTCGGTCCCAGGGATGTTAGCCAAGACAGAACAGCGGGGACTGGAGATACACAAGGAGAATTTGAACCTTTAGGAAGTGTACAGCAACAATTAGTACCCTCGGTTCCCAAATTATTCAAAATGTGCAATTAAAATAAGGATGATGTAACACAATGGCAAACGTGCCACTAATCAATTTCTAAACTTGTTTAAATGTTCTGAGTGCCGCGGGTCAATTTTTTGAGACTTGAAAAATATGTTCATTTGCTTTTATGTTAATTATATCAAACTAACTACCAAATAACCTTTAGCTGAATTTAAGAAAACCTTCCTCCTTTTCTGGAAAGAATGCTGGTATATAAAAGTTAAATGACCAAATTACACCTTTACCATTGTCATTGTGCAGCGTTTACTTTGTGTGTGATGTTGAATAAGAGGTTGTGTGGATTTTCATTAATGCATTTCAGAGTTATATGGAAAAAAACTTTCATAAACCCCCTTTTAGAGAATTTAAAGGGGTGTATGAAGATGCTAGTTGCTAGCATTTCCATTCTTAAAAAGTGATATTTTGGTGAGCTCGCGCAACTAGCTGCGATCAATTTCTGCTCTTAAGTCCTAAACACCTGGATTGGACCCTTCCAATGGGTTTCATTGGAAAATCTGTAAATGTGGAACTGTTGCATGTTGCATGGGCTGTCTCAAGTTGTTGAGAAAATCTGTATGGAAAGGTGTGTACCTTACAATTCTATCGGTACACTTTGATTACATTCTGTGAATTTGATCTTTGCTCATAATAATCATATAATAGTGTTAAAAAAAATTACAACTGTATCCTAAAGATGACAGTAAGCAGCTCTACTCCCAAGCCTACAGCCAGACCAATATCCAATCCAAGAAGGGTGGCTCCCAAACATGTTCCTGTCCACACCATCTGGGGACAAACACTTGACATCAAATTCTGGAGGGAGTGGGAAACATTTGAACGATATAATATTGCTGATGCTTAAAAACAGTGACTAAATGCTTACACATTCTATTTTGTCTCTCCTCCATAGGTATGGGATTTCTCTGAACTGCATCAGCATCCCCTTGAGGTTGACAATCACTAAGGCACCTAAGACAGACTGCATCAAACATTATTTTTTGTTTATAAGATACCCCAAATCCTTATAATTCGTATAATAATAAAACAATTGCAATATGAAAATATGTATGATTAACAAATAGAAAATCAAATTCTTACTCTGGGGAGCGGTTCAAGCAGGAAGCCAAGTGCAACTGTTACAATCATAGCCATCACGGCTGAAATCAGCCCTGCAACCTGTATTTGTATGAAAATTGAAATGGACCAAAAAGATTAAAAAGGGGAATTACGGATCACAAATTGTAAGAATTGTATGCTATCAATGGTCAAGTTGGGCTTCTGACCTGTGTTTTTCCTCCTGAGCTCTCCTGAACAGCAGTTCTAGACAGTGCGGTGCTGGCTGCAAATGATCTGAAACTTGCCCCGAAAATATTGCTAACCCCAAATGCAATAAGCTCCTGAAATAGAGCAACATCATGTTATCTCTCTGTGAGACTAACATTTGTGTTTCTTTTTAATGTAATGATTTAGCATTTACTCCATTAGCTTTGTGATTCATAACCCTTATAAGAAAACTCTGCTTAAAAGAAACATTCTGTGTATATCCTGTCTTGAAAGTCTTTTCAATATCTTTTGATTGGTGCAAACATGGCAACAGTTTTTGTGTAGTAAGTAGGATTATAGGTAACTTCACTGGGGGCTGATGTCCATGTGAATCAGATGCTAGTATGTAATGCTGACTTAGTGTGACGGGAAGTGTGTTTAGGAAGAAGAGAAAAAATATAACATATCAGGACTGCTTTATACAGGGACCCATTTAAGTTTGTTAAAGGGTTGTTTATCTAGGAAAGGGGGGGCAGCTTAAAGCAGCAAAGTCGGAGGGGTAAGAATTCATATTCAGACCTTGAGCCGTGCCACTATTAGGAGAGATAAGATGGAGCACCTTCGTGAAAGAAGGTTGAGAGGATACTCATGTGTGCAAAGGTTTTGGCGGCCTAAGGGTTAAACAGTGTCCACTAACGGGTTTATAAAAGTGCACTTGATATATGGTACTAAAGTTCTTGTGGAGGCTGCTAAGAATAGTCATATCATCTCTTCAGTAATATAATCTCTCCAACATGTAGAGGGGAAGATTTTCTTTTGTATCTTTGCACAGAAATTGGCTAGTTTATTTAGAAAGAAATAGCTGAATAGATACTACTTAGCAGAAGGCAGGAATACCAGGTTCCACTGGGTGTTTAGAGCACACCAGCATGATTTGGCATCAGATTCATACAGTTAAGATTAGGAAGAAGGACTTGCATGTCATATATCCGGATTTAGCAGATGCATTTACTTCAGTGCCACATGCTCTTATTTTCTAAGTTTTTGATTATTTCAGAGTGCCTTTTGTATTGTTAATTTAGTTAAAACCTATTTACAGGACATTAGACTGTGCCTATATTCAGCCGGATTCATAGCAGATTGGTAGAGGCTAGAAAAAGGCATTATGGCAAGGTGTATATGTACACCATTAGCATTTACAATGGCAGTGAAAATAATTATTGGAGCTCTAAGTGGGTTGTAGTTGGAGAGAAATGTCAGGGTTGCATGTGCCTTGCACCATTCTTTTATTACTCTGTATCTGAACCAGGTTTTGAATCCTACTTTTGAAACCTTTTTATTTCTAACCCCTACCCAAACCAAGATTTCCATCCATGCACTTTTACTGGTGCAGCGGGTTAGAGGTTGGGGCGGCTAATGCAGCTTCTGCCATAGCTGCCCATGTGATCTTCCTACAGAGGTTACAGGAATGGGTGAGAATCTCTGGTACTAATTTAAACTAGTTCAATTCCTATCTTGAGGTCAGGAGGTACTTTTACGACCTGTGGGGTTCATCTGGGGTCAATTCTGGGACCTGTTTCTCTGTATCGAACAGATCAGTGTGTGAATGCAAAACACCTTTCTCCAGTTAAACTCCAACAAAACTAAAATTATTATCTGTGGTCCGCAGAAGCAAACAGAAATTCCTACAAGTCACCTTGAAAATCTCTCTCTAGAACCTAACCATCAGGTTAGAAATCTGGGGGTAATATGAGAATATGACTTGAACTTTAACATCCACAATGAATCCATGACATCAGCTGATTTTACCATCTTAAACCCGTACCAAAATCAAGGGAATAGTGTCTAAACCAGACTTAGAAAGACCAATCCATGCGTTTGTCTCCAGCAGGTCAGACTATGGCAGACTATGGAATTGACTTTAAAACAACTTGGCTTATGTTCAAGTCTCTTCATGGTTTGGCGCCAAAGAACATCTCTGACATGTTTGAGCCATATGAACCAGCTTGGACTCGTAGAACCCCAGATAGAAGTGCCCACTGGTGCCCAGAGTCAGAACCAAGCAAGGTGAGGCTGCATTTCAGTTTTATTCTCCTTAAACCTGGAACAGTCTTCCTGAAGAAGTGAAAGGCCCCTGACAATGTTTAAATCCAAGTTGAAAACGGTTCTGTTTAGCTGTGCATGTGACACCTTAAAGTATTTCATCTGCACTCTTTGCGTTTGATTGAATTAATCCAAATGTTTTTTTTTTTTAATGGTTTAATGTTTTAAAATTTTCTCTTTTGATTTTATGATGTGAAGCTTACCTGGTTACCATCAATGATGTAATCGTGTTTGATTGAGTAGACTTTGGCCACAGAGAAAGCTACTGCAAATCCCACTATTGCGATGGGTAACGCCTCAATGGCACTTTCCTGGAAGACCCCAATGCTGGGTGGAATGGGAGACTCATACCTGGAAAGCGATGAAAGTTTAACTGCACTTTGACCATCTAAATTACTACATGAAAATTAACTGAAAACCTCACTGAAAAGAACTTCAAACTTACCCACTGACCATTTTCCCGACAACCTCAACATTATACCTTTTTTCAAAGTGAAAGCCGTAAGACACCCCACAGGCTATGACAGTCTGCATAAATGAAGACATACTTATGTGTGAAGAAAAATGTTTGAACAAATCACACTTTTAAAATGAGGCTAAGACATGTCTTTAAGGAATGATGCTCAAATGAAACCCCACACATTTCGCCCAGGAACTACGCTTTTGCAAAAGCCATTTTACAACTATAAGGATTGGGTAATAGCATGATAACACTCACCATGATAACTTCAATGGGTATTGGAACGGGCAGTTTGGCTTTGTATCTCTCATTCAACTCCTTCACTATAAACACCACCACCATGATTGCTATTGACATCACTAGGTCGCAGATGTTGGTGGAAGTGATCTGGGAAAATATCTTTTCCAAGGTCTGCGCAAAGAAAAAAAGTGATATTTCAATTTCACATAAAGTTTTTCTGTCAATCGGATAGTGAGCTTGTGCTTTTAAAATGTCAAAACCTCAGAATCTAAAACTTAGTGATTGACATACAACAACAGTGTCATTACACGCAAAGCAGAGTGTTAATGACTCTACTGTAAGGACAAATTGAAAGAAACTCTGCATTAAGTTGTAAAGATAGCAGGTTAGTATTGGCTCTACAATATAATCTTTTCCTCGCAAATATCACTTTAACTCTATAGTTTGTGCAGTACTATTAAGCATTCAGTTTTCTGGTCATTCTCAAAACCCTTTGAGCCAATCAGCACCCTGTAGCCAGTGTCTGAAACGCATCAGTGTTGAAGATCCTACACCTCACAGGATCATCTGCAGAGACGTCAACCTATAACTGTGCAAGACCAAACATTAAATCATACTAGGGTAGCTTAAAATATGCATTTGGTATTTATTTTTTAAAAAGCTGATTCAGTCTAACACCTGGCATGCAATCTTTTCCTCCAGATGTATCTGCATTATTCAATGTAAGTATATTTCAGCGACTAATCAGTTAATGACAGATCCAATCTGTCAATGACTTACATATATGATAGAGAGAGGACCGCTGATTCCTGGAACATTCAGCCCCAACACAAACTTCAGCTGTGACACTAAGATGTGAACTGCAGCTGCCGTGGTAAAACCAGACACCAGTGTGTCTGACATATACACAACAATAAAGCCCACTTGAAAAATTCCCATGGCAAGCTGTATTGGAGTGGAAAGGAAAATGAAATCACAATGGTTTTAAGAACGTTGATATTGGCTTTTTCCATAAAAGAAAAAAAATCCTGAATTCACCTGAAAAATTCCCATCAGGAATGTCACAGAGGAGGCTACCAGGACCCTTTGCTGGTCTGTCGTTAGACCAATGAATTCTGTAATATTTGCTGGTGGTCCATCCTCGGGCACCAAGCGTGTCACCACAGCTCCCACCATTAAGCTCAGAACTGGGAAGGAACCTGAAGAAAATATTGTTGAATGGGATTGGAAAGAGTCTAAAAAGTCTATGTTGGCACATAATTTGTGTTATTTCTTGGAGATAGTTTAAGTTTGAAACATTCTTTACTAAACTCTAAACTTCTTTTGTTGTGAAGTAGTGAGGACAAACAATGTTTTTTATGACATACCTACTGATATGTGCCTTGAAGTTCCGAAGAAAAAGTATGTTAGCACTGGAAAGAAAGCTGTGTAAAGGCCATAGCTTGGAGGCAATGAAGCTAGCAGAGAAAAAGCAAGTCCTGGAATGGAAAACAGCAGAAGTGTGTTGTCAGATAGTCACATAGCTGCTAATAACCACCAGCCATTTGTACTGTATATTTGAACGATATATATTTTGGGACATTGCAATGAAATTTATGAAAGATGTTAACTATGTGGATGAGTTGGCAAAAACTTGTTGTCCAGGGAATTTTTTATGTTCAAACATTTGTTGCCTGCATTCATATTTGACATTTGGCTTTAACCTTCTTTTTTTGTCTCAACTAAATTCTTTTATCATTCTTTCAGAAATTACCCATTACTTTTTCACCCGATTATTTCTAATTATTTTTGTGACTATAACACATAAAACATTCTCACAGGAATAGGACTTAGATGATCAAATTAAATGTCTGACCAGGGAATATTTATATTGTATGTTTACAACAAAACTGAACAATTTTCTCTTTGATTTACATTTTAGTTTTAAGTATCAGAATGATTATTTTATATGTATTGCTAATATACAGTAAATTGTGAATTTTGTTGTCCATGACCACAAAAATGTGATATAGAAGTAAGATTAAGCTGTCAGCCCCAAAGTATTCCATATTGTTTTGCCTTAGATGCAAAAATTGATCATTTAGCTCTTCACCTTGCATGATGGCTACCAGTCCAGTGCTGATCCCAGACACCACATCACCAAATAGCCACTCTCTAACTCTGTAAATCCTAATCCAGCCAATGATAGGTAGAAAGGAAAGTACTGCTTTTTTGGCTCGTTTTGCATCACATCTGTTAAAATCACACACCAGACAAGGAATTTCTTCAAAGATTATTTCAAAAGCAGTAATATTTTACAAAAGACTTTAGATTATGAGTAGTAGGGATGATTAAAAACCAAGAGGAGCCAGGGCTCACTTACGTCAGGTATTCCTTGACATGGTCCAGTGTAGTTTTATGCTTTCTCTGTATTCTCTCATAACTATCAGCAAAGCTGTTCTCGGAGAACACAGGTCTGGCCACCACATATTTCTTTCTTAAAGTCACCATCTTCACACCACAAGTGTGTTGAGAGCCCAGATTTGAAATAATGGAAACAATCCTTTGCGGAACCTTTGCCTGGATTATCAGCTCTTAAATCTGAGATCAAACTCATCCTCGCTTGGATTTTGTCTTCCTCTGTCAATCATTAACACATTTTTATTTGTCATTCATTGTTCTGACATAGGACTGTACTATGTTGTGAATAACAGCGTAGTTCCGTCACAGCAAGATCTTTTCTTACTTAACTTTTGGATGGGCTCTTTTTGTATTTCTGTGCATATTCTTACATGGGTTTCTCTTTCACCATTCTAGCATCTTCCCAATAGTCAATTGCTGCTTCCAAATTGTCCCTAGGCGTGAGTTTACATGGCTGTTTATCTAAAATTGCGCCGTTATGGACTGGTAACCTATCCACAGTGTACCCTGACTCTTACCCAATGGTATTCTGGATAGGCTCCAGCTCCCCCGTAACCCTGAATTGGATCAAGTACGTAGATAATTCAATAGATGGATGTTTCGATAAAACATGGAGACAATTTTGACCATGCAGTGACCATGCAGTTCCTCACATGGAGCTGCATTTCAGTAGCATTGGTGGTATGTTTTGAAATGTTTGGAAAGATATATACCTTTGTAAGAGTGTTCCATTATATCCCCTTTTAAGAATAGATTTGTGTCATGTCTTATATTTTATGATTTACAAAGAAATACAAAAAATAAACACAAATAATAAACAAGCATGAAGCAAAAGAAAGAATCTGGATTTCAGCATTTCTCACCGTATATTTATTCAGTCTTTGTCACACTTTTCACACAAAACAGAGCATTACTTTGATATTATTGTTGCAAGATTTGATTTAGTCTTTGTCATGAAAATATATATACAACACGTAAAATATCTTACACAAAAATTTTGAAAAAATTCACTATGTACAGTATAAAAAGAATATTATGGGACACCATTTACAGTACAGTTAATGGCATATACCAAAAGTTTGATCACAATGCGTCTCATTATTCATTCCAAATGTCATCATACTCTGGCCTGGTTAAAACTTGGTCTCTGGATCCTGTTGGAGAAGAGGAGGCTTATGTTTGAATGTTTTGGCTTCAAAGTAGTTGGAGATAAATAAAAAATGCATTTTACACAATTGTAACCTTATATGATGCCATCATAAAAGTGAAAATTACAGGCATGCCTCATAATTTTTGTATGAAAGTTAATGTATCTCATCATAGTAGTAATAGTATCAGTGAATCAATTAACTAAAGAATTAAGTTTATTTTTTTTCTAAACTGCAAAGAAGAGCATTACAAGGCAGAAGTAAGGGCAGACGAATGGATAGATATTTGCTGACGTTATTTAGATTATTTTAGATCATTTTGATTGAAAAAAAAAGCAACCAACAGCTAAACAAAGTGAATAAATATACACCTACATTTTCATCTCTGATCCTGCGACTGCTAGGGTGGTGAATTGTGACCGTTGTTATTATCTGCAGAGCCATATCAAGAGATTGTTGTTTACAGATTTACAGCAGAAGTTTTCTTTTTCTTTTCTGCTATGACATAGAAAGTTTAAAATTCCTTACCCGTTCGTTCTCTAATTTCTTTTCTGCTGGCTCTGGATGTTTCTCCACAATGTACAGCATGGCATCGTGCAGCGTTAGGAAGAACATAGATGACTGAACTTCATCATCAAAAAAGCTACAGTTATGAAGTTTCTCCAAAATATAAGCTGCAAGTTAAAATGAACAAAGTTATTCGCCAAGGTCAATGGAGTTATTGATACATTTTCTTTTTAAACACAATATTGTCAACCTTTGTAGTTAAATCTATCTAAATAACTATAACACATCTCTTGCTTTTAAACTAAAATGAAAATCTTATTTTGAAATGTAGTTTTGACATCAAGTTAAGCTAAATAATTCTGAGGCTCATGTGTCACAATATCAATTTTGTGATGTGCCAGATGTTTTCAATAGGCCAATCACTTGATCAGGATAGTACCAACAAGTAGCTGGAAAAGAAAACGGGTTGGAAAATTAACTGCATTTTGGCAAACTGATTAAAAAGCCAGAAACCATTTCTTGACATACCACAAAAAGAGCACTTTAGAGAGGCAGAGCCACTCAGGACAGAAAAAAAAACCATTAACTGCTGAGCAATTTCAGATTTTTAAGGTAGTTTTGAAGTATTTGCCTGGAAAGGAAATGGCTTAAAATAGGATGCCTGTAATCTCCTGGAACAATGCAACTCTCACTGCATGTACTGAAGATCACTAAATTTGGTGTGACTTCGTGAATGCAGAACAAAGCTCTCTCGTGCAGAGAAGAAGTCGTATCTAAATAAGATGCAAGCATGTCCTTTGGGTGAAAGCTAATAATGGATTTAGCAGAAATTAAAACTGGATTGCTGTGAAATGTTCACAATTTCAAAATGCATTCTGTGCCTTCCAAAATGCATTGGAGAGGGACCATCCAACTTGTTATCATGGCTAAGATTGCATTGAGGCACCATCCATGCAAATAGATGTATGTCAGCTTTAGAACAACAAACCCACTCTGTCTAGATCACTGCTTTTCAACTAAGGCTAACAGAGTGATTGCGCCAAGTTGGGGTTAAATGTCATCAGCTGGTAAAGGAGATCCAGTACTGTTGTGCAGCCTTCATTATGTATCAGACAAGAATGGGATCACACGTAAGTATTTTTCACAAAATAATTAAATTCTACGTAATAAACATTTCATATGATTGATATTTTATACTGGTACTATAACTGTTGTTTTGACTAACATTAATATTCAAGGATTCATACTTGAATTTTTTCCCCTCCTATCCAACTGATCCAAAAGTATGACGCCTGAGTTTGTGATGTTATGCATAAAAAAAAACGTGATCTTGAAAAATATGTACAAAACACTTCATCAATTGTGTAGTTTCAGCTATAATCCTGTACTTTCATACTTACGATCACAGGCCACAATGTAGACCTCGATTTCAACACGGATCAGCTCTTTCAGCAACTGCGGGGAAAAAATCTGAGATTTATTCACAAAAAAAAAGATAGTGAAAAAGTATTGTGAGGATGTGAAGAATCACATACTGTTTTGAGCCCCTTGAGAGCAGATATATCCATGAAGGAGACAGCTGCAAAGTCCAAAACCAGACTGTGGATCTCCACTCTGGGAATGCTGATGTTGGCAGGAAGCTCTCCATTCCAGTCAACCCTTGATGGGAGGTCTTTGAAGTCAGTTGGCATGTCCAATCCGTCCATGTTGCTCTCATCGTCTGACTCCCGAATGGGTCCAAAAGATGTATTCAAAAAACCCTTCTATAAAAAGAAAAAACGTTTCTCAGCTTATTTACACACACTAAGTAGCAAACCATTCTATCAGATTCTGCCGGACGAACCAAACTGACATGAATTTCGAGCCAAATCATACAAGACATTCAAAGTTAAAAAACATAAAAATCAGGAAACTATTTATATGATAAAGAGTGAATTACAATATTTCTCTTCCTGAAAATAAATGGTACTCAACACTTGACGTAGGGCCAAAATTATACAAGGGATGAGCAAATAGCTTTTGATACAATAGGTTACTAACCTAGTTGATATTCAACAGAAGACACAGCAACACTCCGAGAATCGTAAATCTTGTATGAAAAGTGGTAACAATGTTGTAAACCAAACCTCAACATCTCCACAGACCACAAGCTTTGCAATCCATATTTACACAATTACTTCCATCTGAGGTAAGACGAGTTGAACTTTGTACTGTCTCACTGAAATTCAATCTTTCATTGTTTGAAATGATATGCTCGGGGAGATGTTACTGTCATCTAAAAACATATTCAAGCCGATACTAAACAGATACAATAAAATAGTTGTGAGAGGTTATGGAAACACAAATCTCTAAAACAAACAGACAAACAGACAAATGTATAAATAAATAAATAAATAAATAAATAAATAAATAAATAAATAAATAAATAAATAAATAAATAAATAAATAAATAAATAAATAAATAACTGAAGTTTTTCATTCAAATAAAAAGCTAAGATATTTCTGTTTGTTCCCATAAAATTTCAATTTGCTAATACAATTACATTTGCTCCTTATGCTTGTAATGTATTCCTACCAAAAAGACAAACAAACTAATGATGGTCATTATTTTGAAAAGGCAGCATTAGCAGCTACATTAAATCATGAACTGGTGCATTAAAAATATTATTCACAAAGACTGACAGAGGGAAGAAGTTTATATCATATTAAAAAGTTCTGTCAACTTTTTTGGTCGTAAGACACATCTACGATTGACTATCATACAGTGGGAAGTCAATTATCACTTGTTGTGAGACTATTCCAGATATTTTACAGAAAAAGAAAAATGACTCTGGGAACTCTGCACCAAACACGTAATGACAGAAAATGTAATTAGTTGTAATGTGTAAAACATAAGTAGGGATGTTTTATTTCACTGAATGAAGGAATCATCTAACAAGACAAACCTAATCTACAAATGACGAGTTCGGAGTGGACTACCTGACCCTAACAGAGAATGTTCGTGGTAGTTTAAAAAAAGTTGTATGCCCTTGTCTTATGGAACATAACAAGCTTGGTATTTTAAATGCCAAATTGTATTTTAAGCATGGTGGCAGCAGTGACAACCATACACATCAAAATAAGTCCTTTTTGGGAACGTACAAGGCTCTTGACACTGCAATTAAGTTGAGAGTGAACAGAGCAAAATGTCCAAAATAAAAACATCTTGTAAAAATATAACCTTCTATAGCCTCATAAAGTTGTTTGAAGGAGTTGAAGTGTGTACTGTTGCTGTCACCACACACAGCAGTTCAAGTACTTACTGATGTCAACTGCAGGTCCCCTTTCTTCAAAAGTTTCCTTATTTTCCTCAGTGCTTTATTCCTCTTTTTCAACATTTGCAATGGATTAAAGCCAAGCTGTGACGACATGAGTCACAACACAAAAAATTAGTATAAAGATAACATCATTTCATTTCCATGCAATCCTTCCATCTGTTTTTCCTCTTTCTTTTTATTTGAAATTGTTTTAATATACTTTGTTGAAACTCACAGCTTCCACTAGCTTATTCCTGAAAAATTCAGTGTTGGCAAAGAATAATGGTGATGGAATCCTGAAGATCCTCACTCCATCCTGCTCATATATCTAGAAAGTAATGACCAGAATATCACAATTATTTTCAATACATAGTAGTAAATAGAACTGTGGTCTTCAATATTGAATGCAAACATAAAACATTAAAGGGATAGAAGGGTGATAAATTGTTCAATTGGGTTTAACTTTGCTGAATATAAATGATCATTTATCATATACATTTTTATGAAACTGAAGACAAAGACTGGTAAATGTAACTTACAGCACTTATAATTTTATTACCTTCATTGTCCACATAAATATAGCAACCCTCACATAAATCATGAAACTGTCAAGAGTGAAACAGGGAACTGACCTTTAGAAACAATACAATGATGTAAATAATGCAAGGAAACAATAAAACAAAAGGATTGACATCATTATCAGTTTCATTCATTGTATTTTACTGCAGGTTAGCTGAGAGCAACAACCCCAAAGTGGAGTCCTTGTTGCATCACTTTGACCGAATTCAAAGTAAATGCAATAATTATTATTTATCATTCAACCCGTTTTCTTCCATACTGTGCTGTTGTTAAACTTTGACATATTACTTTTATGTGATAATTCAGCAGCATTTGTGTCAAAGGCACAAGCCTTTGACACAAACTACACTTAAAATAATCTTTAATTCCTTCTGTTTTTGAGTAAAATAGACCTCCATGTAAGGTATATTATAGCATCAATTTATTTATTTAATTAGTATATTTTGCAGTTTTGTGTTGGAAATAAATCCACTCAAAGTCATAAAAATGACAATAACTAATTAATTGATAAAGTTTAATAGATATTTAAGTACTCTAAAATCAGTATCCTTTGTCTTTTCCTAAACTAACCAAAAAACATGCCTAAAATATACATGTTATATGTTTAGAACAAGTTCACTGGAAAAACAAACTGGCAGTAATCTTAATCCTTTTCGACCTTTGACCAGGACAATTTGACCCGGGAGGACAGAAGATGTGTAGACAATACAATACAAGAGAATACAAGGGTTAAAAACGTGTTACACCATTTATATTTACAATTTACATGCATATTGCTATAATCATTATCAATTACATGTAACTGCATTTGGATTACAGTTAATTGCCCGAGGTTAGCTGGAGACCAATAAGTTTACTAATGCTTTTTAAGAAGACATGATATTCTTTCGGCACATTTTTTTTTCAATCTGAAAACATTTTAGATTCAAGGAAAAAAATCCCTGACAAAAACAAACATCTTTCCAACTTACATTGAGATAGTCCTTTCTGTCTTTGTAGATATCAGTTCCCCTAATGTTTGCCAGAAGGCTGCAGCGAGGGCTGAAACAAAAAGCATGACAAAACCTTTAAACACAGGGCTTTCAAATGGTGGCTAGCAGTCTTTTTGGGCTGTATTTGCAGTGCTTTGAGTTAAACGCTGACGTCACATTGCTAATACGATCACAATTCAATTGCAACCTGTGGTTTGTAAAAACTGCTATTTAGAATGTTAATAGCTGTAGTTTAGTATTTTAGGATGCTTGCATGTGTATATCTGCTGAAGAGCATGAACATTTAACTTAAGCTTACATTACCATAACAAGCTATGATTGGAAAAGTACCTTTTATATGGACTGAAAGCAAAGAAAGATTTACTATACAGTAATATTAGCTTAGACACAAACACGTAATGGTGTAAAACGTGTAGGGATACTGACAACTGAACCCTGAAGACGACGCTGATCAGTTCCACACCGAGGCCCACAGCCAGGCCTAGATCCAGACCCAGCAAGATGGATGCAATACAGGTAACCAACCACACCGCCTGGGTATGATTGAAAAGAGATTTATTATAAAATATGTAAATATTTTTGGTTAAGTAATTAAATTACACAGTAAAGTACACAGTAAATACTTCAGTAAAGAGATTTCTTTTTTTTAAAGTCAGTTATAAGTTAAAATATCTAAAATCTCACGCAATCTGGTTTGTCCCTCCTCCACAGGTATGGGACATCTCTGATCTGCATCAGCATGCCCTTCAGATTAACAATGACAACTGCACCCAGCACAGACTGTTGGAGTAAATGACAGATCAGACTCTTTCATGTAAACACCAAATACTGGTTGATACTGAGGAAGATCTGAAAATCTGAATACCTTTGGTAGTGGCTCTAAAAGGAAACCAATAGCCAGAGTAACAATCATCACTATGATAGCTGAAAGTAAACCAGCCACCTGTAAAGAGGAGAATAGGTATTGAACTATGAAATAATAAAGATGTCACAATGAAATATATTTTATTGCAGTTACTAGCTAATGTTACTACTAATTAAGACTGTATTTTTCACTTTAATTACCACACGTGGATATAGATGTTTATCACATTTCCTGCTTTTATAACCAGCCAAACAGTGAAATTGTTGAAGCAAAAAAGAGGCCAATTGCTCAATCATTATTCATCGTGTTAATAATATTTCAAAGGGAATATACAACCTTAAGCTAACCTCACATAAATATTCTATATCATGTTTTATGAGTTAATGGTTTACCTTATCGGGAAAGGTTTTAACACTGCAAAAAAACTCTTGTTGAAATAGAATTACAATGCTGAATCATTCTGACAGGTTAGTTTGAAAAATAAATGAAAACTAGATGGAATAGAACTTGCCTAATTACAATGACGGATAGAAGAGCTCCATAACATCTTTACTTTTATCATAATAATTATCTCAAGTAGAATGTCAACAATTTTATACATTTTTACTTCAAATGTGTTTACAGCTGTACGCTGGCAACTGACATCTGGATAGGTGTTTTTTTATGTTTTTTTTATGAGGAAGCACATAAAGGAGATATAAAAGACTAAGAATGACTTAATCAGCAAAAGTTAAAATTGTAGCTGTGGCAGGAATTTTAGCAAAAATATGTCTCAATGAAATATCAACCACGTGTACATCCTGGTATAATAATTGAAAGCAAGCCTATAATGTTAGGTATGTATGGTGTATAGAGGTATATCAACATAAATACATTATATAAATCATGAAAGGCAATACAATGGTCCATGCACTGATCAGATGTGTATAAACCTGAAATAACATGTAGGTGGAAACTGCTATTAGTAACTTGATCACAATCATGAAATCTTTTTTCTTCAATTTGCATCAGGCTGAAGTTTAACCGAGTAACAGACACTGATGTATATAGATTTTTAAGCTACTGAAATGCCAATAGTCACTGTCTTTCGGAAGTGGCTCACGAGATCTCCCACAAAGGCAAACAAGGCTTGCATTATTTAAGATTTATTTTACCAGAATTATATTAATAAAAAACAGGCGTAAATGGTAAAATAACTCAGGAGCTTTGGGCAAAGCAGTTGCTCAGTTGTGAATCACCATGTAGAAGTAGTGTGTGCCAAATAAAGATACTGTGGCGTGTTGGGGAACAGACAGAAAGAGTCCCCATCATGCTTTGCCAATTGTTTCACTAAATTAATAGTTAATCAAATTCTCTTTTACTTTAAATATTATAATTTGGTAATGGTATAGGACAGCAGTTATGCTGTTTTTTTAATGGTTACTTGGTAGTGAGACAGCCACACATCTGTGTAAAGAAAAACCACCATGACTTACAGTAGGGTAGGCAAATCCGGGCCTCAAGGGTCACTGTCTTGCAGGTTTTATCATATCTGATTCGGATATTGGTCGCTCATAAAGATCGTTAAGCTCTACACAGGACATTTCTGAAATTGTGTTGATGTGAATCAGTTATGTTGAGGCTTGGAAATATCCAAAACCTGCAGGACAACGGCCCTTGAAGTCTGGAGTGCCCAACCCCTGACATTGTCATCACCGCACTGTTTGTTATCAGGAGAGTGTGGCCGCTGATAACTCAATAAAGACAAGAAATCTGTATCCCTGTCATATAGATAGTGTACCTCAATTATGCTGAACTCAACTGAGATCCCACCTCAATGCACTCTTTGAATGTGTTTCTAGTTGGACTGCTTTTAAACGCTCAAACCCAGGGCACACACATTGTGACATTGTTATGGAAAATTGTGGCTCACTCTTCTTTACAACGTTGGGTTAATTTGTTTTGGTTTATGGGCATTCATCTACGCATGATCGTGTCAAGGTTCCGCCACAGTATTTTAATTGGAGCAGAGGTGTGGACTTTGACTGAACAATTGCAACATCCTGATTATTTGTTTTTCAGCCATGCTGCTTTGCGTTAGAGCCATTGTGCATTTGACTAAAGAATATTTAGTTGGACTGTCGAGTTTATGATTTACGTGATGATTACGTGATGACCTAGATGAGGATGGTTTGAAAACAAGTCTGAATCAATAACTTTTCACAACCATTGCTTGCATTTTTGGAATATCTCAACATTAACTTTTTGTGTCATCTGCTCTTAAGTTTCAAACCTGTTTAGGAATACCTTTTCACCAAATGTTGAAAAGCATCATAAAGATACAGTAATTGCTGATATAATTTCTCTTTGATAAAACCCATGTTTTTATATTGGTGATCTCATGTATTGATGATGAGTTAATTACAGGTCATATTTGCATTCCTTGGCTGCTACTTGTTCATTCATATCCTGTGGAAGCATTTTTTGCCCGTTTGGGATTTGCAAAATACATCTAAAATTTAAGTTTACCTGGGTTTTCCCCCCAGTGCTTTCCTGCACTGCGCTACGGGAAAGAGCCGTGCTCGCTGCAAAAGACTTGAAAGAAGCTCCGAAGATGTTACTGACACCAAAGGCTATCAGCTCCTACAGTCAATACAAAAAGGACACATGGCTTATTATACATGTATTGATCTATTCGAGCTTATGATTGTCCAAAATGATTAATTATTCATTAATGTACCTGGTTCCCATCTATTGTGTAGTCATGTTTTATAGAATAAACTTTTGCCACAGAGAAAGCCACAGCAAAACCCACAATAGCCATTGGGAATGCTTCCACTGCTGTTTCCTGGAAGACTTGCAAGTCTGGGGCCATTGGAGATTCATACCTGAAGCGGTAGAAAATCTGTCAAATTGACATATATATTACATTCATTGTGGGCTGTGGGGGAGGGCAGGAGCATTAAACAGCGTATATGTGCGCTAATATGTACGCATGTATCTATAATATCAAAAACACTTTTAAAGTAACAGTTCAGATATGATTTTTTATTGGATGGGTTTTGAAAAAAAGTCTATCATTTGAAAACATATGTGCATTTAGGTCTTTTATTTGTAGGTATGTTTGTATTTCTTATGTTTGTACACATTTTTGCTCTATTTGCATTTCACCTGCTATATGCATTATGTAAATGGTGTATATATATATATATACATAAGAAATATACATGTATATGTATATATATATATAGTCATTATTAATGATAATTCATGAAAAACTAGCAGAGTTACAATTTACCTGGTGCAACAGAGAAGGAAATCAATATAGTGTGTGGTATTTGTTTTTATGTCTTACCCTTTTGGAATATGGCCAACAACATCAACGCCAAATCTCGTCTTGAAGTCGAATTCGTATGAGACTCCACATGCAATAACAGTCTTGAAAAGACGTGTTACATTTGAATCAATGACATATCAAATTTGGTTCCTTAAATTGTTCAATTAAATAAAGAATGTCCGTTATCCATGGGTTGACGGCTTACAAATGCACAATATCTTTTTTCCGGTGCCATAAATGAGCTCATGTCTTCATGTGTTTACAGTCATAAAAAGTCATAATCAAAATTTGTGTTATCAGTCTAACTGTTAACAAGGCTTCACCGCCTCATACTAAGAAATTATTTATAGTGACCGTGTTGCACAGTGCTGCTCACCATGATGACCTCTATTGGTATGGGCACAGGTAGCTTGGATTTGAATCTTTCGTTTAGTTCTTTGACAATGAACACTACCACAATGATCACAAGTGATATAACTATATCACAAACATTAGAAGAGGTGATCTTTTTGAAGATTATCTCCAGTGTCTGGAAAACAAAACAGTATTAAAAGGGATTAACAATCTCCAACCCATGCTGTGCAAGGCGATAAAACAAAAAAAATAACTGAGGTATGCTGTATTTACATATATGATGGAGAGGGGTCCACTGATGCCTGGAACAACAAGCCCCAACACAAATTTGAGCTGGGAAACCAGAATATGGATGGCAGCTGCTGTGGCAAAGCCAGAAATCAGAGTATCTGACAGGTACATGACAACAAAGCCCACCTGTAGCATTCCCATTCCTAGCTGGAAGACAAAGAGATCACAAAAACCAAGCAGCTTTAATTTTTTCAAAACCTGCTGTCCATCATAGTTAACTTCGACTAAACCGAAAGTAAGGTAATGTAAATAGTTTATCTATAGGATATATATATATATATATATATCCTATTTATTAAGGTCAAATATAGTTAATGCAATATTTGGTTTAGTGTAGCATATTTGAATTTAAAAGCATGGTCTATTTATGGGCTAATGCCTGTTGAAATATTGTTAGCTGGCCAGCACTTCTGCACAACAGAAGATCTGAAGAGTGGAAGTTGCGCCTAAACAAAAGCAACTGAACAGTTCAAGGCTAAACATTAGTAGTTTATTGGTGCCTGTTAAGTATCCGTCGTGTAACTTGTAGCCTTCAAAAGAAACACCCTCGGAACAGAATAACTCTATGTGGGGTGCTTAAAAATGTGCTGTAAAGGATACTTAGTTTGTCATATCTTTTGTATTTTTAAATCTCATGTACATTTTTGGACTGCTGAAGGTAAATAAGCAAAGGAAATAGCTTAAAAACAGATTTTTTATATAGATTGGGAGAATTCAGGAGAAGTCTTCTCCTGGACTCTTCACATTACCTTAGCTGTATGTTAGCCTGCCGTCATCAAACTGAAGAGACTCAAATTTTTTATACATTTTACATAATGTCCTGAACTTTTTGTAGTAAAGTTTGTCGCTGTTTGTGTAATTGAAGGGGGAACTGTGGCTTCTACTGAGGTTTCTAACCTGCATGACACCAGCAAGGAAGCTCACAGACGAAGCCACTAACACTCTCTGCTCATCTCTGGTTAAGCCTTCAAACCCTGTGATGTTGGCAGGTGGCCCTTCATCCGGTACAAGCCTGGTAACCACTGAACCAATCATCAGGCACAAGACTGGAAATGGACCTTTAGATATAAAAGATGTCAAGTAAATCTGATGCTTGGCTTTTAGAAACTATATAATAGAGATATATGGCATGTCTACATACCTACTACATGCCAGCCTTACCTACTGAGATGTGCCTGGAGGTGCCGAGGAAAAAGTATGTGATAACAGGGAAGAAGGCAGAAAAGAGTCCATACCAGGGTGGCAGAGAGGCAAGCAAACAGTAGGCCAGACCTGCAACACAAAACACACAAAGAGCACTGATAAAGTTAAATAGAAATGTTGCAACATGGGTATTTTTAATATAATTTAATTTAGAGATCATTTAAAGACTGTGTGATCCCCCATGTAGATTAGAAATCTCACCATTAGATGCAATGACTGTGAAATAGTGGGATGGTTGAACATTTACTAAAACCTTTGCAGATATTTGTGATAGTGTGAAGTTCTCGGAATTTCTGCCTATAACCATGAAGTAATAAAAAAAAGATCCTTACCTGATATCATCCTTATCATTGTTTCAATTTTAACTGCACAACCTGTTCTTTCTTTACTAAACAGCAATATGTGCAGCTGAATCATGTCCTATGAAAACCATCTCAAGTCAGAGAGCCTTGTGAAAACATGCTGTTGGTCTTACCTTGCAGGACAGCGACCAGCCCTGTGCTGATACCAGAAACAATATCAGAGAAGAGCCACTCTTTGATTCTATAGATTTTCATCCAGCCTATGACTGGCAGAAGGGAGAGGGCTGCATTTTTGGCTCGTCTGGTGTCACATCTAAAATGAAACATTACTTTATCACGTTTCACAGGAATACTGGTGCAATGTTCACAATACATCCTGGATGGACCGATGCTAATGGGCCATACTACACTTTTTTTATTTTAATAATGCAAAATTCCATATTTATTTCTATTATTATACATATTGTTGATTTTTTTAGGATTCTCTGTTTCATTCTTGTTTATTAATGTCTTTATAGGAAAAATAAGGTACTATCACTCCAATATATAAAGTTAATATTTAAATTCCATTTAGTCCATTTAGTCCACAAACAAAGTGTACAATGCCAAATAAATCCATGTTGCGCATACAATATAAGCAGATAAAATTAGTATGCCTTAAAACATTACATCAATAAACACACAAACACACAAACATTACAACTATAAAACATTTCTACATTTTATTCTTGCTTCTCATAGAAGTGTTGTGTTGTGCACTAAACACCAAGGCAAATTCCTTGTAAGTCTGAAAACCTACTTGGCAATAAACCTGATTCTGATTCTGATTCTGATTCTGATTACTACTTCTTATTTACCATTGCATGCAAAAAATGTGTACATTTTCATTTTATAACCCAACAGTTTTTTGGTGTTTTTTTTTGCTGAAAGGCTGAAAATGAGAACAACTGGAACTGACTTGCTGGGCTGCACTGAAAAGGCAACATTCAGTAGTTCCCCTTAAAATTATTATTTCGAAATATGACCTAAATATGGTACCATGTGATTCACAAGCTAGTTCCAAGCAAAAAATCCATATTTTCAATCAGCGTAAAAAGATTTAAGACTGAGTAACCGTCAGTGGAAAGACATCAAATTAGAAGATTTCTTGAAAAAAGTAACATCAGCGACTAAATGGCATTCAAGTGTTTTCCTTTGTCATAAAAGTCCATACTGATTTGTGCAACTAAATTGATTTTAATTTTTGAAGGATTGTCTCTTGGATTATGTTGTCAATAATCATATTCTAGACACAACACAGAATACAAAGTGAAGATAAAAAATGTTGCATGTTTCTTACTTGAAGGACCGTTTCACATGATCCAGCATGTTTTTACGATGTCTTCTGATCTTCTCATGCTCCTCAGCAAAGGACTCCTCTGAGTATAGTGGCCTAGCCACCACATATTGCTTTGCTCCTGGTCGCATCATCTTGCAAATGCTGCCTGAAGGACCTCTGCTCCCTTTCTATGTGGTTCTGAGATCAATTAATCACATTACGTTAGTATGAGGAACCTGTTTAGTCTTTGAAGACCACTTATCAAAAGATCCAGAACCCTTAAATAGAGTTAAACCACGTAAGCCAGGTTGGGACCTGCACTCTGTGGAAGGGAGGAGTTGCAAGGCTCTGTTTAAGCTCCAATGACAGAGCTTTAAAGACCCGTTTTGAATGGTAACATAGAAATAATCCAGTTCCTAGAATTGACAGTTTCCTTTGAAAAGACCTGAACCAAAACAAGAAAATACGAAATTCTTCAAGAGACCCCCAGAATGTAACACTAAGTTCAGTGTAAGTTCTCATCTAATGTGGAGCGGCTCATCCTACATACCTGGTGGAGTATTTGAATGTCTCAAAGTTTCCACGTTGTCTTCTTCCTGCTCCAACACCTGGAGATAATCTGGAACAGTGACGGTCTTCCCATCAATAAATGCTACCTCTGCTACTTATCACAGCTGTAATTATTAACAGCAATTTTATGATGAAGTCCCTGTTTCGCACAACTGCTAGATGCATGCCTTATCCTTGACCATTGTTCTCACTGATATCCGTAAAGCGCAGCTTACAGTGGACTGAGGATGTGGTCCGGACAGACTGGACAGGACATCACAGGTCATTGTTATGAGGTGGAAATCAAGTAGCAGTTCCAAGGGAAACTGCTCGAAAGGGTGGTTGCCACACTCTTTTGTGCTTTTCAGAAAACTGTTTGGAGGAGTAGCTCTCTAAATGCAATAACTATATTGGCAAAATATATTTGTCTAACATGTCAACACAATCATAACATAATACTTAATATGAACACATGAAAACGTCACTCGATCTGAATCAGCTATATATTATATTTTAGAGATTAGTGTCAATTTACCACAAAGTAGGAGTCCACTAGAATTATACAGGGTAAGTCATACAGATTTTCTTGGCTGGGGACTGATCCAGTGTTGAAACAGAAGAAACAGAGAAAATGTTTCACTTGTGTGTGTGCGTGTGTGGTTTTATGTGAGTGATGGGAGGTTCGCTGGCCGCTTGTTTCAAGGCATTCAGTTGGAATGCAAACATTTCAGGGAATTGTGTGAATGACCTTATCAAAGTGTCAATCCAGAATTAAGTGGAGGTGATTCCTGCCTCTGCTGTTTGTTGAAGATTTGGCAAAGTTCAGTTCAGGTTCGTGGGAAATCTCTTCTTTCACTCGAAGTATGTTACAAGGAAAATCCCTTTCTGATAATCATATCTGAGTTCTAAAAAGAAAGTTAATTAACCCAAGTTATTCAAAGAGTAATGTCAATTCATTTTGAAGGTAAAGCACAACTCATTTTACTATCTCATGTTGACTGAAACCTTATTGTGACATGATTGTTCCTGGGTTCAAGTAGTTTCGACCAACTTTTGATGTGTCACAACATGCTGAGTCATGGAGACATCACAGTGAATTGATATTGGATTTCTGCTTAATTGCACCAAGGTCAGCCACTTTAATCTTGGCACATTTTACGTTTATCTTCTACATAATCACTCAAGCAAAGAACAGTGTGTTCCTGTTTTCACTTTCTCTGTGAAAAGGTTCTGGGTGTACCCTATTGATATGTATTTTACAGTATTCACTTAGTCTCAAACACAGTTTCTTAAAGTGTAATTCAAACCAAATAAAACCCGAATCCCAAACTGCATTGTTTATGCTTCCTTGAACTGACTTGGCCACCTATTTGTCTACTTCCTTTTGTACCGGTACACATGCTTGGGATGGAAAACAAAGTGTGCTTAGGACTCAATGAGTATGCATTCAAGACATTCTCTTGCTACAGACCTTCTCCGTGGGAACCCGCGGTCCATGTACGTGAAGCCAAAGATGTTTTGGTTTTAAATCACTTGCCTCAAAATGACTGCATTTGCATATTCTCACATTTTTATGCATTGGCACTCTCCAATTACAGCGGCTTTATTCCATTGTTGGAAAAAAATCATGTGAGGGCACTAGTAACTTTAAATTGACCCTAGGCTTCACTGTGTGCATGTTTCTTTGTCTTTTCTGTCCATTCAGACACCCTGTCATCTGTTCAGTGTCTCCTCTGTCTCACAGATGCAGTTCAAGGGTATACAAATGTGATGGATGTAACAATGGTGATGGTCAGATGCCGCTGTCATTTTAAAATCAGGACTGTATCAGAGGAGGGAGGCAGTCTTTGAGCAGTTGCTAAAAAAAAAGTCTTTCTGAGTTGCCTGTTTGTCTGAATTTGAGATCTGTGATAATGGATGGATGGATGGATCCAACAAACAAATAAACTTTACAAAATTGAAAAAAGAAGCTTTAGATGTATATGTAATTGATTAATTTCTTTCTTTAAAGATGCTACTGATGGTTTCTTGTCTGCGGTCTGCACAGCAACTGCAGAGCATACATAGAAAGCCTAGCAATTTTTCTTTTCAAGTATATTTACCCCAATTGCATGATCTCTGCATGCTAGCCTTAAACTTGGTATAGATTCAATCAGCTAATATGTCCATTTTGAATAAATTTTGTGGTTGATCAAGTACATTTATCATTTTCCCCAGAGTTTTGGTTTTCTCAAAGTCTTACATGATAAATTTGGATATTTGGGACAAGGTGTTGAAATACTAAACTTTCTTTCATCTTTTTTTGTTAAACTACTTACTTTAAAGTAACTAACAGTAACTAACAGTACCAATTCAAATCAAAAGCTAAATTTCATATCAACAGAAATTGAAACAATTTGAACAGCGAAGATAAAGCTCATACAAAGCATTTTCATCCAAGAATATTGACCTGTCACGATCATTACACTTTGAATTCGACACATCTAAGAAACACTGTATGCAAAATATGTTCCCTTCCAACATTCAAAAACAGAAAGACATGTGCCTGTATGGAAATGTTTTTTCAGTTGTCTTTTGTTGCATTCTTTTTGCTGATAGAAATATGATTAAAGCATGACTGCTTTTGTCTTCAAAAGCCAGCAAATTCCAGGAAACACTAACATGTTGCAACCGCGAGACACAGAGTGTCCTGGCCTGTCCTGCTGATGTTAACAGGATGTGGCCAGACAGAGAGGCATTTGTAGAAAAAGAGCTTGATAGAACTTTATGGTCTCTGCTGTGACGAGTATGACACATTTTTTTTAATCTGCTATTTATCTACCATGCCTTTGATATGCATGCTTCAATTACTACTTTATTATTGCTGTGAAGTAGAGAGGTGTACACACTGAAGATACAAATATCTAACAGCCTGCTTTAAAGTTCAGTTAATCTTTCACAGATAGCTTTGCTTTCCACGTGAAACAGCGGAAAAGTTTATTCTTTTGAAGAGTATTTCTAGTTTTGCATATTAGTATTTAACATCACCAAAGAATGTTATCCTTGTAGTTCCAAGGAAGATGGAGAAGATGAATATTCAGCCATCATGACTGACTGGTGTTTTCTGAGTCTTTGGTTCTGCTGAGATGGCTCTGCAGCACATCTGGATGAAGTCTGGCTGTCTCCTGATCTACACCTGTTGGAAATTAAGAATCTTCAACATCTCTTTTACTGGGAATTCAGTGGAACAGATTGTCTTTTGTGCTAACCAGGTCAATTGCTGTGCTGGCAAATTTTGAGTTATTCCTACCTGTTCCCTCTGTCTTCTCGCACCATCCTCTTCAGAAACCAGTTTCTTGGATCTTCTGGTTTTGTTGACTTCTGGACTTCCTTGTTGCTCCACTTCCTGGATATATTTCCTTACAGTTGCCATTAGTCGCCACACACTTTCACCCTGTGCTTTCCCTAGAGCAAAAATGGACTCTTGGAGTATTTCTTTGTGATTGTGATATTAATGTTGTAGTTCAATTTGAGACAGTGTAATCAATGCAAGCCCTAAAATGCATTAATACAGCTAGCTTGTTGATGACACAAACATGCCATTTTAACCATTATCATAAAATTTGTAATTATGTTAATTTTTGCCTTTGCATTCCTTCTGGATATGCAGCACTGACAACAAACAAAGTGACAATTATTTCTATTATACAGACCTGTCAATAATTGTGAGGTTTAATAAATTAGCAACTGAATTGGTCACAAAACTGCATGAGGATCGGGTATAAAAAGAAAAAATATGAAAGACTTAGTACTCAGCAAAATAAGTTCTGGCTACCCACCTTGTTTTATGTTCTTTCAGGATATAATTGCCCACCGTTATATACATTGGTATGTGATTAAGTTTTTGTGTGATGGAAATTCAATGTAGT